ACAGTTATAACTGTGCTGAATAAAGCGCAATAGTCCAGTAACGCCACCTTTTAATTACCAGGACTGAAGTCGTTAAGCTCCTATATTTTTGTATTTGTTTATCATAATAAAACAGACGTGAAACAATGATATAAAATTATGTTTCCTAGAAAATTTCTATAATACGGTACATAATATTTTTACTCCAAACTCAACAAAATGCATTAATCTTTAAATACAAACGTCTCGTGAATCGATATTTCTACTATCAGCCAATGCCGTGCCAAAGTTTCAACTAAACTATTACGATAGTGTGACGGTTACAGTATGTATGAAATTAGCAATCGATAGTTTAAAAATTATGACAATCTACAAAACATTCTGAAGATGAATGAAAAAGTTGTCTGTGAAACAGCCTGACGTTGAATTCCACACAAAGCTACTCGAGGGCTACCTGCGTTAGCCGTACCTAGTTTTGAAGTGACAGACTAGAGGAAAGGCAGCTAGTAAACACCGCCCACCGTCAACTCGTGGGCTACTTTATTCCAATAATGCGATTTGATGTCCTCCCTTATAATGCACCCACAGACCTATAGGGCAGAGCGCGATTTGTTTCTATTTTGTTTTGTTTTTCTTTGCTGTAACGGTTTCCGAACCACGGATCCACAGTCCGACACGTTAACCACTGAGCCACGTTTGGCCTCCTAACAGTGAAATATCAACTTGTTTTTATTGTTTTTGAATTTCGCGCAAAGCTACACGAGGGCTATCTGCGCTAGCCTTACCTAATTTAGCAGTGTAAGACTAGAGGGAAGGCAGCTAGTCATCACCACCCACCGCCAACTCTTAGGCTACTCTTTTATCAACGAATAGTGTGATTGACCGCCTCATTATAACGCCCCACGGCTTAAAGGGGCGAGCATGTTTGGTGGGACGGGGATTCGGACCCGCGACCCTCAGATTGCCATTCGAGTGCCCTAATCACCTGGCCATGCCGGCCCCAAATGTAAACTTTATCTGAAAATAAAAACCAAGTAATGATGAATAAAAAAAACATATACTCATGGATATCTAAATATTTTTGGCTAAAATTGTCTAAAAAAATTAAATATTTCGTCACTATAACAAGAAATAATTCATTAAAGCTTCGTTTCACCAGGAACTAGTGTGTTCCTCCTCATCATAAATATAAAACACTCGAAAGCTCAAAACCGAAATAAATATTCAAGAGACTAAGTTTTCATCTCTCAAACAAATATAGTAAAATTCAATATTGCTCACGAAATTTGTTAGAAATTTTCTCATTCTGTTTTGAAAAATGTAAAGGTTGTAATGAAATATTAAAAGGAAACAAAAGCCAAAGGACCCACTTACAACTTCGCAGCCTAAAAGGGCACGTCTGTATATCTACAGGATAATGTCTAAATTCCATTTGACATGCGACAACAGCGGCCAACCTAGAAATAAAAAAGACATATAAGGAAAAGGAATTCTTTTTTTTTCTTCTCTTTATTTAAAATTTTCTTTTTAATCTTTGGACATTAAATATTGTTTTCTGCTTTCATTTTTATAAAACTGATAATGTTTCTGGAGAAACTAATTTATTCTTCTTGTTTGTTTTTAATT